CAGGGAGCGAGCTGCGGGCCCTGCCGACACCCTCCCCTGTGCCAGGCCGGGTTGCAGCCCTGAGGCTTGGCCTGGTCCTGTCTGGGGGGTGGGTTGTTGGAGGGCCTTCCTGCTGTCCGTCTGTCAGCCACCCTGCTTTAGTCCTAGGAAATTGGGGAGAAATAAACGCTCATCAGTCACAAAGCCCCAGAAAGTCGCGTTAGGCCGTCAGGGAACCAGTAAAACCCGTCACTCTGCAAGGCTGACCCCCACAGGAAGGTTCAAGCCCGAAGGCCTCCCTGAGCACGCCAGGCATGCGTGTGCCTGTGATCTGGGGCCGGCCTGCGCGGGGGCGGGCTGTGGCATCAGACGTTGCTGGGGCTGCTGGCTCTCATGGGAGAAATAAACTAGAACTCAGAGAAACACTGTAAGGAGAGAAGCTTTGGGGCCGGCAGGCGGTGTGGGGGTTAGGGCACTGCATCCCACATGGCCAGCTGCACAGTTCGAGTCCCAGATCCAGAAGCTTGAAAAACCACTTTGGGAGGGCCAGTAGGTGGCATGATGGTTAAGGCACCAGACTCCCATATGGCTGACCGTGGTTTGGGTCCTGGACCCGGCAGCTTGCTTTCTCACTCTCCCTCTCCTTTTCTCTCTATCTCTCTGGTCAAATTGAATAATAATAATAAATGGGAGGGACCAGCAGGCAGTATGGTGGTTAAGGTGCTGGGCACTCTCACATAATACACCGTAGTTCGAGTCCCAGACCTGGTGGCTTGCTTTCTCATTGTCCCCCCCTCTCTCTGTCTCTATCTGGTCAAATAAAAAATAAATGAACAAATAAATAAAATTGAATAAATAATTCTTTAAAAAATAATAAATGGGTAAAATTAAATAAATAATTCTAAAAAAAAATAAATCACACTGGGTCCCTGTGTGTGTGCATGCCCCAAATCCCAAATTCTGGGGAGAATGGAGGAGACGGGATTGTGGCATGGCCGTCCTCCCTGGGGGGTGATTTCTCACTCCCCTCTCTGTCTCTGCTGAGTGCACGCGCCCCACATGGAAAGCTAAATAAATACACCAAGGAGACTGGACAGGCCACAGACGCGGAGCCAGGCTGGGAGGAGCAGGGCTCACTCCCGCTGTGACCTTGGAGAACGACTCTGCCTCTCTGGGCCCGCTCCCCATCTGGGTAAGGGTTCAACAGCGCCCTAGGCACCAGAACAGCCTGGACAGAGCCCGCGCTGCCATCTCGGACCCTGACCCTTTCCTCTGACGCGTGTCACCTTCTAGGAGAATAAGTCACGGTCTTCCTTACTGGGTCCCTTGTCCATCTCCCTGGTTGGATCCTGGCTCCTGAGGTGTCAGCTGCCTTTTTTTTTTTTTTTTTTTTGGGGGGTTTTCCCCTAGGGCACTGCGACCCTC